ATTGACCATGTACCTCTAACTGAGGTTACAAATGTACCTCTAACTGAGACGCTTATTGACCATGGAGGGGATGATGTGTTGTTGAATGTGGTGAGTACAAGGGATGAAATCTCTTCACACTACAAAGATAGTCGAGGGGCTTGAATGGGGTACCAAACTCTATAGAGGCCAGTGCTTGGGTCCTGGTGGCTTCTACTAATTAATAAACATTGGCCAGTTAACTGTCACTAAACAGTCACCCTTTCCCCTGTTAGAAGAAGTTATTTGTAAAAGAGGTTAAGGAGAGAAAGCAAGAATGTCGTTTATGTTAAATGAAACATAGAATAAGGTCATGTATACACATATATGTGTACACATGTGTACATTCTTGGTGGCGCTGCATACCTGTAGTCTCAGAATTAGGGAGGTGATGGCAGGAAGATCAGGAATTCAAACTAGCCTCTGTTACCATAGTGAGCCTGTCTCAATCCCCTCTCCCCAAAACATGTGTCATCAACCAATACATTTTAATTCCCCAGCCTAACATTCATAAAAGTCCAGATTCCAAAACTTCTTGAGCAGCCATATGATGCCAGGAGTGGTGAGTCACACGCTTGACCTCAGGCGACAGTATAATAAGCAGTATTTCTCTCCCAGAGCTGGCTAGATGTATGGTGACTTTTCTGTTAATGTCCCTTTAAAACATGCTCCCAAAATACCATTTCCAGCTTGAGTTTTCAATGGTAGCATTGGAAATACAGTGATGGTGGGAAGGAAGCCTTTGAAGATGGGCTCTGTAGTCAGCACGACAGCAATTGTATTTTGCTGTGTGTGTGTGTGTGTGTGTGTGTGTAGTATGATGAGTGTCTGTGTGTGTGTCTGTGTGTGCATGTGTGTATGAGAAAGAGAGAGACAGAGAGAGAGAAACAGAGACAGACAGAGAGAAACAGTTGCCTGAAAACAACAGATCTCCACTGTCACAGCATATATTTGCAATCTTGCAATCATCTTTTCCAGTTTAGACAAATTTCATTTCATAATTTGGAAGTAGTAGCTCCTCTTAATTGACCTTTCATTTGGATTCACATGCCTCTTTACTTATGATGCTGTGGAGATGCATTCCTTCCTGCTGCTTGTTCAGTATGTGAGGTAAAGGCCAGTACTGAGAATGGCCTAGGGAATGGGAAATAAATACTATAACTCTTAGAACGCCAAAACTGGACCATAATTCAAGGGAAGACTCACCAAATTTAGCATGAGATCTCAAAGTCCTTCTAGGAACATGGGTGTCATATAGTTTAGGGGATCTGTTAAACCAGCTTCAATCTCTTCTCAGTTTAAATTGGGTTGCCTGTACGCATGACTTTATTAGATGAGAATTACATAAGTAGTATTTATTTACCCTAAGGTAATAAATAAAGCATTGGATGAGCCGAGGTTCATCCATTACATCTGGTGGCCACCACCGTGGCGTGTTCTCGAGCTGTCATTGCTGTTGTGGACTCTTCATGTCTGGTTTATTAGCGTTGCGCTTAGGTCAGATGAACGTGTGCTCATCCGCCTTGCTTTGGTAACTGAAGTGAAATGCTGATGGGGATCGTTTAGGACTGTCTCTCCGCTGTTGATTGCATGCTTGTGGTTCATAATCAAAGTGATGCACAGTAATTGTTAGACTCACTTGCCAGGGCTACATTTTGTGTCTATGCAACTGTCAGCACTTTAGGCCCCGTTGTTCTGCCTGGAGAGCACTCCCTAGCACCCACTGAGTGCCGTAGATAACGTCCCCTGCCACTCTTGTTTGCTTACCCTCAAAATAATTACCTGAAAAAGGACTGTCTGCTGACTTAGTGACAGCTGGCTCTTACTTTTTGTGTCTGTCAGAGTGCTAGTGTGTGGAGAGTTGACTATTAAAAAAAAAGAAAAACAACTACATAATACAGGGAGCTGGGAGCTCAGCTTTGCCCTTTGGTCATTAAACTGACAAGCTTAGCTTTGTCATTGATGTGTTCCCGAGCCTTGCTTTGCTAGTCTGTGCAATGGGACTAGTAGAGCTTCCTAGTAGAGAAATTCAGTTTGGGCTAGAAAGGAGAGCTAAACTTTGTCAGCGGAAATCAGCTACTGATTACACGGTAAGAGCCAACAGTGAGGAGCTGGTGCTTTCTCTGAGGCTATGATTCAATATGTCAACTTTCTGTCATTGCATCATACACCCAAGATAATCAACTTATGAAGAGGGAAGGTTTAGACTGGCTCATAGTTTTGAAGGTATCAATCTGTGATCAATCACTCCGGGGGGAACGGCGCTTTGGCAACTCAAAACATCATGGTGGGAGATGAGGGCTGAGCTGATCTCACCTCATAGCCAAGGACACCCCCTCCTCACCACAGGTGACACCCAGATTCAGAGTGTGTCTTCTCCCCTAAATTAACCCTTCACAGGAATGCCATGGGGTGACTCACTCGTGCCCTAGGCATTTCTTGGTCCTATCCAGTAGACAATATGAATGATCCATTATCTATCTCATACAAGGGGGCTCATGCCGTTGGCTCCCACTTGTCATCTCTTGTGGACTCTGGTTTCACAAATAAAACTTAATTTCTCATTCATGTGCTTGTCCTCATTGTTCAGTGTTTCATTGTACTGTCTTTCCCTGCTGCTCCCTGCTATCCCCTCACCCCTACTTCTTGTCTGCTGGTCGTAACAGAGTCAAGAATACTTTTAAAAGACTGATGAGTTGTCAGCACCCTTGGACAACTGTAGGCATATACTCAATGCCCCAGCCTCTCTCTAGTGGCCTTTGTCTGAAATGTGACTTGGTCATTGTTTTTTTTAAACATTTATTTATTTATTACATATGCACTGGATTGAATTGTAGATGGTTGTGAGCCACCATGTGATTGCTGGGAATTGAACTTAAGACCTCTGGAAGAGCAGTCAGTGCTCTTAACCTCTGAGCCATCTCTCCAGCCCCTGTGACTCATCATTGTTAGGGTTATAGTACAGCCTTGATAATGGAGGTGATCGTGTGGCCTGTGACTCAAGTAACCACCTTATATATGATTTATCGAATCAACTATTCTCTTTGAGAAAGGAATTATACCAGAGACACTGACATTGTACAAGTAGTCCCATGTTTGACACCTTCTTGTGGCATATTCCAATGTCCTTTTCATGGATATTGAACTCAAAGTATGTGAATTAATTCTAGGGCCACTCAGAACCCTGAAATACTCAATTGCCTCTCTCTGTATCACAAATCCGGTCTACCATGATTGGGTTAAAAACAGGGACACTTGTTTAATGTTAGACTTATGATTTCCTACGTTAGTAAGCATTCCCATTGCCTATCATCTCTAGTCCCTGTCAACATCTTCTAGCTGCTCACTGGAAATTGTGAGCTATGATTTCATTCCCCATGATATATGTGCCAGTTTGTATTCTTCTGAGCTCACCCACTCAAACACAAACAAATTTTTGCTGTTAAAATTTACTATATTTAAGCAATTGGCCTTTCCCAATCTTGAAAACAGAGAAGGGAAAGAAGACACAGACAGCTATAGTGTGCAGTCATTTCTTATAAATACAGATACATGGGTGGATTCTGTATGCTCAACAAATAAATATGTATTGCCTCATTCTCCCAAAGCAATATCTTATAGTCCTTTAAATATTTTTTTATATAGGCTAAGTTCACTTGGTGGGGTGCTGGCCTAGCATACATGAGCCTCTGGGGGATTGATCCCCAGTATTGAATAAACTAGGTGTAATGGCCCATATCCCTAGCACTCTGGAGGCTGAGGCAGAAGGAACATAAACTCAAGGTCACTCTTGTCTATATACCAAGTTCAAAGCTAGCCTGGGCTACCTGATATCCTGTTTCCAAAAATAGATGTAGATAAATGTACTGGCAATAAAAGAGGGTTTTAGTATATCAGCTATAAAACATCAGTTGGCAAAATGATATGAATACCCTAAAAACATGTTAAACTAAATTATATGTGTATGCCTGGGTTTATTTCTACTCCAAATGCATGTGTGTATTCATGGGCATTGGGAAGAAAGTAGAGTGTAAGTGAAAGTATTAATATTGGTTCTTAGTGGGAATTTTTCTGATTTCTGTCTCTTGAGCCCCCCATCTACATCATGTCACTGTTTTATAGTAAACAGCTTTACTTTGTTCTCATTTGTCTCATCAGATTGGGGTAAGTGGGAAGAAGGTCAACACAGTGCAGGTACTCATATCCAGATAGAGTCCAAAACTCCCTCTCCAGTTCTCCTCCTGTTACAGATACATGAATGTGTTGAGCTAAAGGGTAATCAAGGCCATTCTTTTTATTGTCTCTCCTGCCTGCCTCGTGCTGCAGTGATAAGCACAGAGAGGCATGCAGCAGCTGCTATGATCATTGGCATTATGCAAATGAGGAAAACTCAGAGGGATCCCATGGCTGGAATCACTCAGCTACGGGTAGCAGAGCTAAGAAGCACACTTGGGCTGGAATGGAGCCGGAACTCTTCTGCTCTCACTCCCTATCTGTCTCTATCATTCAGCCTTCCTCTGGCCAAGAGTCATCTTGTATCTTTCCCACAGCTGGTTGGACCAGTTAGTACTAGAGATGTGTGGCCTCTGTATAACATTACTCAGTAGACTTGATGTGGGGGGGGGTGGAGGGCTGTATCCTGCCAAGTCTGTGTTCCCAGGCAAACCTAGATACAGATGGCTATGGATCAAGGCTTTAAGGTGTGGCACTTGGGGAGATTTTAAAAGACCCACCTAAAAATATTTCCCACACATCAAAATATATGTACCTTATCATATAACTCATGCTAAATAAACCACGCATACCATGGTTTTCTGCATATTGATTGTTGAAAAGTGTTTTAAAATTCACGTCACCAGCTACATATCACCATGTGTATCTACTAACCACCAATGTCCTTGCCCTCCCCACCCACCAACCTGTGCTGATTCAGCAACTAGGGTCCCCAGTCGTTTTTGAAATCTATTTCTTTTCTCTTTCAGTTTTCCAAAGAAATTAGACCAAAACTTTCTTCTTGAGAAGAAACCAATCCACTGTTGGCAGAGGGTGAGTGAGGATGTAAATGTACCATCTATTTTTGACCACGTCAAAATGGTGTTTGATACTGTGAGGTTCCACGATGGAGTATCTGATAACAGGCAGCTGGGGAAGTCTTCTGGAGCTTGGAGTCAAGAGGCTCTTTTCCATCCTCTAACTCGTTTGCCGGGGTCTCTCCTGGAAAAGATGGCTTTGCTCAGAGCTTTTCCTCTGCTGCTTCCTGCTGGACCCAAGTCTCCTCTCAAGAGCCTCCCTCACAGCTGCTGTCACCTTGTACAGCTCACAGAGAGGTCAACGGCCAGTGTCTTTCTTAGGGGGACGGGTATATAGAGATAAGATTGTGGGCAAGGGGAGACTTTCCGTCTGGTTCACAAGGCTGTGTCTTGTGAGTGCCATGAGAAAGAGCTAATAGGTTAAATGCAGTCAGTGGGACCTCCCAAGGTACCTGGGAAAGTCCCTGTGTGCAGATGAGACAGCGGGGACCCGGTGGGCTCCAAGAGACCTGTGATATCATAGACAGTAGCATAGCCAGCAGGGTGAGAATGGAGTTTGACTCTTAGCTGGTCGTCCTGTGGAAAGATGGTTGTTTTTCAGCCACAGCTTATTTCCAAGAGAATAGATTTCTTTGTATAACTTAATTTAAACAATGTACTAATATAATAATAATGCCCTGTTTCCCTAAGGCAGATGCTAAAGTAGTACTGTTTGGCTTCAGAGCTGTCACATGACCAAGAAGGCTTGACAGAGTAGGTGTGTCCAGAAACCATCTGATGTGAACCTCATTGGCATGAGCATATTTGCATAACTCTGTCTAGGAACATGTAAACAAATATCTATTCACCTTCTAGAGGGCAGCAAGCACATAAGCAAAGAATTGAATCCAGCCAAGTGGACCAGTGAGTTTGCTAGGTTAAAGAAAGGTAGGGAAGGGCGATTCCAGCAGCTGTGTCACCAAAAAGCCATAGTTGCATGAAGAGGGCAGTGGATCCTGTAAGTCTGGTGAGCTTCCTGGGTCATCGAGTTTCCCTTCCCTTTGGGAAGGGGGCTATTTCAACTCAGACTAAGGAGCTGCATGACTACAATTTCCTCTTACACTCTTTTCAAACCACTGCCTTTGTAGTGCCACATTGTCACATGTTGAGACTGCCTAACACATCTGTTTTGCAGCTAGGAGCTAGCATGAGGCAGCTGGTTACATCATATTTACAGTCAGTAAGTACAGAGAGATGAATACCATTGCTTAGCTCACTCTCCTTTTTATTCAGTCTGGGAATCCAGCATAATACACAGTGCTCCCCACATTCTGAGTGGGTCTTCCCTCCTCAGTTAAACCTTTTCAGAGCTGTCCTCCCAGATACATTCAGAGGTGTGTCTACTCATTGATTCTAAATCCTGTAAAGTTGGCAATCAGTGCATATTCATAGAAAATGCATATATCTATGCATGCATGCGTGTGTGTGTGTGTGTGTGTGTGTGTGTGTGTGTGTGTGTGTGTATGTGTAGTGGACATGAAGGTTTGTTGTTCTCTGTAAGATCCAAAGGTCTTTGTAGAATCAGGCTTTCGACTAGACTAAACTTAAAAGATAACTAAGAGGGGAAATGGCAAACTATATCTACGCTGTTATTTTTCTTTGTATAAAGAATGAAATTGTAGACAAAGATCTAAGGCCAAAGGCCAAACAAACCACTGTAGAAAGAGGCCAGCAAAACCCCTGGAACTTATGCAGTACAGATGCAAGGACTTGTTCCTTCACTAGAGTCATCAGTAGTTTGATCTTGACCCTCAGGAAGGATTATTATGTAGAATATCATAAGCCATTTGTTCTTTACCAATTAGATGCAAGGTAAATTCAATCTGAACCCACGACTGTTTTGTGGGGGGGGGATTTTTAGCCTAAGAAGAAGCATGGGGCTATGAAGTAGCTCAGTAGTAAGTGCTACTGGGCATATGGAATAAGACTCTGGGATCCACCCAACACCAAGCCTAAAAAGTAACAATCCTGCTGACATACTTTATTCATTTGAGGTACACAAAGTTTGGAACCTCTTTTCCTCATTGCCCCAAGGTGATTTTGCTTGCTTGCTTACTTTATTTTGTTTTGTTGTGTTTTTTTCCCTGAAATAAAACTACATTTTGAATGAAAAAAAACAGTCCCGATTTTTCTTCCACCCTATAAAACATGAGTGGCTGTGTTCTGTGTCTTGCTGTGTCGAGGACTAGAGCTCTGGAAGGGTAGCACACTCAATTTATAACGGCACTTAGCATGGATGGTATCCCTTTAAGGGAAATCCAGTGAAGTGCTCTTGCCAGCACTGAGATTTCATTTGCTAGAGGCCAAATGGCAGTGACACGCATTGGTTCCATAGCAACATGTCTGTGCAGCCAGAAAAAGATATAATGCTTGCAGCAGGCAATGTATCCTGAGCAGACCCAGGATTGCCATAATGCCTCCTTCATTTTCCTGCCTGTCTCCCTCTGCTTTTTCCCTTCCTGGGGACTTTTATAGTATGGGGAATCTGCACTGTGTCTTCCTTGTTATCTAACTCTGCTGTTAACACTTGCTGGTTTCCTTATCTAGCCTGGAACTGGGCAAGGAGGAAGGCAATGCCCATGCTCTCATTCTTCAGCAGAGCAAGCACCTCCCAACCTTAGTGCTTGAGAGCCAGTCACTTGTGTGTGGCCTCATCTCTGTGACAGGATAGCTCTATCATAAGGTCATGGCAAAGTCCGAGATTCCTGTATATGATGGTCAGCTCCTCCTGGCTGGAAGGTAGGCATTGACAGCCATGTGTGATCCAGAGAGCTCATGGAACATGCTATAAACCTGTGTGACAGGTACAGGGCTACACAAAGAAGTAAGGTACTCACCATTCCTCTCCTTCCAGAAGTTTCTGCTAGGGACACAGATCCTAGCTGCCCTTGAAGCTTTTGTCTCTGATATTCTCCATCTTTCACATCTGTTGGAAACACTGGTTTAGGCCGGTGCTTCTCCCACTAAACTCTGAAAGCAACAGAGTTTCATAAGCCCAAGCTGGCCTGAGGTTTACCATGTAATTGTCCTAGGTAATTGCCATGATAAAATCCTCTGACAAAAGCCACCTAAGGAAGGAAGGCTTTATTTTAGCTCACTGTTCAAAACGCAACCCATCCATCATGCAAGGAAGGCATGGTAGCATGTGCTTGAGGCCGCTGATCATGTTACATCTGCAATCAGAAAGAGAGGCCAGTGCCCACACACATGAATTCTGATACTCAGCTTCCTTTGCTTCATACAGTGGTTCTCAACCTGTGGGTCATGACCTCTTTGGGAAGTCAAGTGACCCCTTCACAGGGGTCACATATCAGATAGTTACATTATGATTCAAAAAAGTAGCAAAATTGTTGTTATAAAGTACAAATAAAATAGTTTTATGGTGCGGTGTGGTCACCACATGAGGAGCATTCGGAAGACTGAGAATCACTGACTTTGTACAATCCAGGATCCCTGACCAGGGACTAATCCTATTCACAGTCAGCATGGGCCTTCCCACATCAGCTAAGACAATCCAGACAAACCCACACAAGTACCCAAACGTCAACCTACCTAGTTGGCAATTAACATCATTGCAGTAGCACAGACTGACCTCAAACTTGAGGATGTCCTTTGTCATCCTCAAGGACTAGGGTCACAGGTGTGTGTCCCCACACCTAATCTCCAGAAGCATTTTCAAATATCTCTGCCATTCATTTGACACCAGCCCTGCATTTCTTCTTTTGATTACTATTTCTTTGTGTGTGTGGGGGGGGGCAGGTAGAACATCTTTCTAGGTGAAAGCAAGCCTTGTACTGTTAGAATCATTGCATCTCTTCCTCCCCCACCTCCATGGGCCTTCTTTCTAAATTTCTCTAATACAAGGAGCCTGGTGCGTAGTGTCCATGCCATACCACTTATTCATGATGGTGTCATAGCCTCATCCTGCCTCCCAAGGTCTGTGATGTATGTGTGTAAATGTATTCAAGTGTTTGTTAATAGGTTTTAAAGAAAAGATACATTTAGGAAATTCTTAGTGTATATTCTTAAATGTAGCTTTAAAGTCTCAAATTAGGAGCATCTAAAGACTTGGCTTTCCCTCTCTTCCCGTTGTGGGTCTTGACCACACACTGGTGTGGATAATGGTTCACACTGGCACAAAGGTAAGCTTTTTTTCCCACCCCACCCCCAATACTCCCTTTCACAGCATTTGCCTTTGGGGCCAGGTTTCTCAGTCTAGCGGTTGTCTTTGGAGCCATTAAATCAGAGATTTGAAGGGGGTTTCATTAAAGTGACAGTCTTGATAGATTAGGAGAGTGATTCCTAATTTAGTTTTAAAGTCTGTTGGGAAAGGAGCAGGTTTTTCATATGAAAACTTTTATCTTAAAAGAGTTAAAGGAGTTTTCTTCCCAAGTCCTGAGTCAACGGAAGTAAGACAAAAGTCAGAAGGCAGGTGGAAGCCAGAATTTTTATGCTGCTAGTAACAGTTATAGAGTGAGAGCCAGAGGGACTTACCACCTCCCTGGTGCCCTGTTCTTTAGTGTAGCCCTTAGTGTTCATAACCGGAACCGTTTTGAGTTTGCAGAGCCCTGTCTGCGGGAAGAAGAAAAGGGGAATCCGCTTTCCATCCAGAGGAGGCTGGGGCCACATTTGGTTCCAGCCCCCGCCAGATAGCTCACTTACCAGCCTTGGAGAAGAAAAGGGTGGAGCTAAGGGCCAGAGAAGTTTATAAGATGGGGCTGGGGGGTATGGTGATGCTTCAGCCCAGTGCATGTTTTACTTTCCGCCTCCCAGTCAATCGAGACAGATCATCCCGGCTCCCTACCTGTAAGATCCTACCACCTTCATCCAGTCCCATAGTTCTTGAGCGTGCTGTTTTTGTTTGGGGAGCCGGTTAGTCACCTCTACTCAGTGTCCATGAAAGCCTTGCCAGGCTTGTCTACTGTATCTCGGTATTTTAATCCATGGCTGTTGGTATGTGCAAAGCTCACTCCTGGA